GGAAAGGAAAGTAGAAGTAAATTCAATGCCAGGTTGCAGAGTTACTTTAAATCTGCACAAATAAAGAATATGGAGTCAGGTTATGGTTTATTTTGTGGCTATTTATTTTATAGAGTATGTTTGTTTTTAAATGTAGGAATCTGCCCTGTATCTGCAGCATACTGGAGAGCCAAACCGCTGCTTTAAGCTAAGTGCAGTGGTCCGGGTCTCCAGCTGTCAAACACATCCCCGTCACAGCACTCCAATCAGCAGTGATCATGCTCCTTGAACATCACTTCTGATTGGAGTACTGTGAAGGGTTCTCTGGAAAAACTGGAAAAGGTAATTGGGTACTAAATAAGAATACACCTACTTGAATATCTTCTTTTGTCACCTGAGATACGCTGATATAGGTTTGCTGCATATACTAAAAAAAAAGGAACACAGTGGAGCTATGATTCACAGCAAATATTCAGGTTTCATATTTAATTCACAGAAACAATGAAAAATGCAGCCCTATTGGTTGTACTCTGTACCATGTAGTGCTATTGTACCATGTAGTGCTATTGCTTATCTCTGCAAGGACACTGAAAACAAAAATGTTTTTCAGGGAGGATACCTGTAGAAATCCTTGGTACCTGAAGACTAATCAGTTGTCATCTGAACCAATCCAAAACACAGCGGTATCCTAAAATGCTTCAGTGGCACCAAATTATGATAATGTAGACAAGCAGATTGGTTGCAGCAGCCTTCTTTGCGGGTGTTGAATATCAAAATACAGAAAATCATTTTTTTTACTTCCTGACAGCAAGCTTCATTATTAAAACTTTCAAGAACTTGTGCATTATATGACCAATGAAAGAAGGGCTCTAGTAGTAGCGTTATTCAGGCAGGAAAGAACAGTACAGGAAATGTTGAGATTCAGAAATTGACATTTTTTAATGTTAGCCCAAAACAAGACTTGGACTATAAAGTGGAGCACTGAACTAACGCCTTGGCACCATCAAGATTTGCACAGATGTCTTTGGTTATCTTAATCTTATCATAACATCTTATCTTAAATCTTACTTTGTTTTTCTTTCACTGCTCCAGATAAATGGCATGATTAATTTGAGAAAAATAATATATAAAAATATTCAAAGATCATGGTACAGGAGGATAACTTGAGCTAGTCATATACCAGTAGAATTTAGTTTGAACATTCATATGAAAATTCAGCAAAATAATTCATCAGAGTGTTTAATACATATCATGAACTTGACAACTTTTTGTAATTTTTTGATATTTCATTCCACTTGTATGCCAATGTATCGAATTTTAACATTTGGAGATACTGGATATTTTGAATTCATTCATTTGTGTATTTAGCTGTTTGCCTGGAGTTTCTCTTTAATTATTAAAGAGTACAAATAGTAATCCCAATCATTACATTACATATGTGTAGTGTTTGTTGTGGAAACATTATTGTAACATTTTCTTTGAGGCTCAGCCACTCAACAATAGAGTTGTAATATGAACATAAAATTGTGGGTTTAGCTAGCAAGTCCCTCTGATCTGTCTTAACATATTTTGAAAGATGTTACATCATTAATTGTGTTGCTGAATCAAAAGCAGATGTGCTAGTTTAGGCTGATGGCTTTTCTGCAAATGTAAGCATGAAAGAAGTACTGGGATTCTGGTTCTGTATATCTAGGGTTTTTTTTACATTAACCAATATTTACAAATATATTTCAGACAACCATACCCACCCTCATTAATTATGATCCTGGTGGGGTGTATTCTGTGGGGTTGGATTCTTCTTTCAGTATAAAACACAGATCTGGGACTAAAGCTGGCCATAGATGATAACAAATAAACAGATTCCTCCATCCACAAACAGAAGTTAATCTCACGATCGACTTTTGCCAAACAGGGGTGACCACACATTGATTGAAGTTCATCTGTTCCCTGCTGCACAGGCCAAATTTTGAACTGTCTATGGCCTGCTTTAGCTCATCTGATATCCATGTGCTTTCTCACCTCCTCCTTGGCACCAGCACTTAGGAAGCATGATGGACAATGGCATGGGTTCAATCACCGGTGTCTGGCAAGACCTCCTCCCCTTAAAGTGTTACTAAACTCACAACAGTACAATTAGTCTGTATATGCAGAAAAGCATGCTTTTTATACTCACAGTGGAACATAAGGGGTTAATCCTCTGCATTGTGTAAAAAGGCTGTTTGATCCTTTCTTCTCTGTTGCTCCTCTTTTTCAAGCGACCACCACATTTCTCCAGACTGAACTATAGGCATGCACATGCTCAGTTTGGTGTGTATTGCTAGGGAGGTTTTTTTTTTCTTTGGAGAGTGCATGTGATCAGCACAGGGCCAATCAGCACTGTCCAGACAGAGGTCAGGGGATTTGTATCCTCCTCCTAGAGTAGATATAAAACTCGTCCTACAAGCTTTAGCTAGTGCTGGGCTGGACACAGATATAAGTCACAAGACTGCTCTAACTGCTGGTGAAAAAAGGTATATAGCAGTTTATATTTACTAAAATAATTGCACTTCCATGTTCTGTGTATTGTGGGAGACCAGATATAGTGAATGCAGGGTCCTGGGTTTAGTAACACTTTAAGCAGGGTGAAGCAACACTGAATACTTGTGTTTTAAAAATGCAATTTACAGCCAAAAGTAACCCTGAAGTTTATCCAGAAAATAATATTTTGTGCAGGGTGTCCTGTCCTCTTCCTGCTGCTTAACATCCAGCATTGAGGAAGTTAATAGCTCCACGTTTTTCTTGAAGCTGCAGTGAACTAGCTCCTGATGGGAACCAGTCCCCTCCTCCTCCATTGGAAAAAGCTGTTTCATAGTGTACACTGCATATAACATGATCTCCAAATGGGGAAGTGCCTGATGAATCAAAGGATTCTCTCATCCATTCACTGATTGGGGCTGCAACCACATGGTGAAGTGGTGCTTGTTTTTAGAGCTTGTTTACACTGGTGTTGCCCTCTGATGAATGATTTGTGGTGTTGGTTGATCAGCAGTGGCGAGCACTTTTCACCTCCTCACCCACCTGTTTTAACCCCAAAAACCTGTAATACTGCTTCACACTCACATGCATTGCATGCAGTTCTGGTGTGGCCCATTCAGTTGAATGGGTCACATTCAGTGGACAGTACTGCCTTGAATGCAACAGAGAGGATCATTTTTGTTGCCTTGTTATGCAAATCATCACGATCCCAGCATGTATGAACCCCCACCCATTGCCTTTTCAGCCTAAGGGGTAGTGGTTGCGGGCAGTAGAATACAGCTCAACCCATTGTTTTCACCATCCCAACCCACAGATGTAAATGAGGCTAAAGTAAAATAATCATTTTAGCCTATTAAAAAAGAAAGCAAAAATATTGTATTTTAAGGTACATCAGACATATCAACTAAGATGCTGCTACTGCAATGGTGATATGCTTTCCAAAGTATGAAATGATTACATGAAATATATGAAGGGTTCGCCTAAGGATAGCAGCTTCACATCTGGATCTCGTTGCACAGTCTATTAGAAAGCCTTGTAGACACAAGTTTCAGCTGGAAAAGGACAGAATGTTTGCTTGAAGTATTGCTAGTATCATTGTTCTCCTTCAGGACTTCTCTGGGTCCTGCAGCTATATAGGAAATCATTTTCACAATGATTTTGGTAGATGACAATGGGGATTATTGTTTCATGCAATTATGCAGAGCAAAGTAGTTAAACCATTATCCAAATCTCTTGGCAGCTCTTCCTTACTTCCTATACATTCCAGACAAGTGTGATGTAATTGTTCAAGGAAAGTTGTAAAATAATGAAACCACAGTCTATTTATGTATATGGAATGGATGATTCTTCATGCATACAGGCCAGTGGTACATATATAGAGAAATATGAACATGCAATCTTTGAGCAGATTAATATAGTAACTGACTTTGAAAACTGACATGTTTGTGGCCATTTTTACATGATATTTTTTATGTTAAATCCAGAAATGAACCGTGGAAGCCCAAAAAAAAGATAGGCAGAGAGCAAGGGACTAGTCACTAGTATTGTCTCTGGTCAACCTGTAGCTAATATTTCCTCATTAATTTACTAAAACTGGAGAGTGCAAAATCTGGTGCAACTGTGCATAGTAGTCAATCAGCTTCTAACTTAAGCTTGTTCATTTAGACTTTGCCAATAAAACCTGGAAGTTGATTGATTACTATGCAAATATGCACCAGAGTTTGCACTCTCCTCTATGTCTTCTTCTGCATTGTGTTTCTGTGTGACGACAGCCATCTATGTAGAAGGAGGACATTGCTTCTTCATGTCAGATCAGTCCCTGATCACTGTTAGTAGGACCTGAGGATAAGAATAACAAAACTGAGCTGTGACAACGTTATTTTGAGAAAGAAAGGGTGAGTAATCTTACGATTAAAAAAAAAACTACAGCAATATTAGTAGTATTTATTCAATTAATAGCAACTAAAGCATGTAACATGCTTTGAGCTCTGGCAATGTCCACATAAGGATGGTAACATGAGGGATGCCCAACAATGAATTTTATAATGCACACTCAATGAATGAATGAATGAATGAATAACATTTGAAAAGCATGTGATCCGTAGATGGCATGTCAGATTTAATTTCTTTAGCACTTAAACCAGTAGAAGGTGCTATGATGGTGCACCAGAACCCAAAGCAACCATCCAAAGAAAAATGTCCTTGCCAATCTGAATAAAGTATGCTGTATACAGTACTGTATATTCAGAATAATATATATATATATATATATAGATATACTGTATATATATATATATATATATATATATATATATTCAGTATATACTGTACTGTATATATGTATACAGTATATATTGAATCCAGTACATCCAAGTGGATGGTTACGGTATATTGCATATCATCATCAAAATCATTTTGAAAAAAATGGTTTATTCCACCACCAACAGTATCATAACTGTACAGAAAAAACTCCTTTATTTAATGAAGTTATATTTGAGATATAACAAATGAAATATTTATTCTTTCTCTTTATTTTCTTTTCAGTTAAATTGGAAAAGAGTCCACCAGTCAAGGGAACATTGTCAGGGAGAGTGACGTTACCGTGCTTTTTCTCAACAATACCTACATTACCACCAAGCTACAACATTACAAATGAATTTTTGAGGATAAAATGGACCAAAATTGAGAAAAGCCGAGATGGAAAAGACCCAAAGGAAACAACAGTTCTAGTTGCCCAAAGTGGTGGTATCAAAATTGGCCAAAATTACAGGGGCAGAGTGTCTGTGCCCAGCCACCCAGAAGACATTGGTGATGCATCATTAACGATGGTTAAGCTCCGTGCCAGTGATGCAGGTGTTTACCGATGTGAAGTGCTGTTTGGAATTGAAGATACTCAAGATACAATTTCCCTGGATGTTTCCGGTGAGATTTATTGGCATATTTGATACTTCTTGTAATACAGAGATGCATGTCTGCTCGAAATAAATAGATTTCAGTTGGTCAGGAAAGTTACAATTTGAGGTGGGGTGAGGGAAGGGTGAAGGTGTGAAGTTGATAGGATGCCGGGGGGTTGAGCCCACCTTTGGGCTTTAAGCTCTCATAGATGCTCCTCTACCCATTTTGGATATTTTGCTGTACTTTCTGCTCCAGTGACCACTGGCTTCTGGACAGGACACGATCAAACCTCTCAATTTTGTGAAATGATATAAAAAAAATGTCATGACATAACAGAGGGTGGATGAAACCCTGTGCTAGTATTTTAGTGCTGTATGTCACTGTTGGGGAGATTAATGGGCAGCAAAAAAGTCTAAACGCAATAAGAATATTAATAAGTATTCACATATTCTCTCTAGGCGGTATAAAAAAAACTTAAAACAAGCTATCTATGACCTCACCAGCTGCTTTTACTGTTCATCCTCAAAGACTCCAAAGATGGGGTCTTAACCAATTTCTATCAGCTTAGAAAAACCTTCTGTGTAAATACATTAGGGCTTGCAGGCTGCCAATATGATGCCGCAAAAGAAAGTAATTAGAAAAGAGCTAGGACTTTGTTGCCTCTTTGTGAACTTTGAAGATGAATTCCTCTACATTGCCTATATCTACAGAGGTGATTGAGGTGTTTTCAGTTAGTTTTACTGCTTGACCAGAATACATTTTTGAGCACAGTTAAAACAAAGGATTTACTGCAAGTAGTGATATTTCTAATGGAAATTACTGTAATAAATGTCACAATGGTTTGTATTGCAGCACTGTGTTAATAGAGAATTCCTGATTTTGTAGGTGTTGTGTTCCACTATCGTGCATCTGTAGACAAGTACATTTTAGACTATGAAGGAGCCCAGAAAGCCTGTACAGAAAATGGTGCCTCTATTGCAACCCCAGCACAACTGAGAGCTGCCTACGAAGATGGTTTTGAGCAGTGTGATGCTGGATGGCTGTCAGACCAAACTGTTAGGTAAATATTTTGGTATTCAAGAGACAAATGTCCATGTAATTCTGGTGTTTTTTCAAATTATGTCATGAAATAGTAATTTCACAGTATGTAAAGAATAGCATAAAAATATATTACTGTAATAAGCTAACAATGTTCCACTGAAACCTCAGACATTGTTATCAGCCCTGCCCAGTGCACCTCTGTGAACTACAGAACATCATCCATCTATGTTATGGAGATGAAGAAAGGGAGTGTTCCGTAGTCCTAACGTATTCCTTATTCTAGGCTGACTGATATGTGATCATAACTGGTTATTGGAGAGAAGAGACAAAGATCTTTCAGTTTAGGGTGTGGGTTGGAGATGGAGAGGTGGCACAGAAAGTTGCAAGGCTAAATTAGGAAATAAGGATGTCACCTGTCTGTCTATGCGGTGCGGTAGGGGTGCATGAATTTACGAAGCTGGCAGAACAAAATTATTTACAGTATTTATTGTATACCAACTTTACATGTTTAGAGCAGCCTTTTTCAACCAGGGTGCCATGGCACCCCGGGTGCCTTCTGGGCCTTCAGGGGCGCCTTTGCAAATTGCCTAAAAATTGCCCCAAATTTTCAAAAATTTTCATCAAGCCAGCAGGAGGATGAAGTTTTCCTTTTTTCTTACACAAAGCTACAGGATTTCATTGTGCAGCATTACAACCTTCGACACCGTGCAGGCCAGCCGACAGCTTCCTAACAGCTGATGCCATCGAAGGTTGATAAGGAGGACATTGGGCACCTGAGGATATCCTTCCCCTGCCCTATTACATTAGCACTGGGGTCATGTTAGTTGAATGAGGGAGAGAAACTGAAGGAGAAAGAAAATACTAGTCAGCACCAGTGTTCAAATGTAGATTGCTTTGTTTAAAATTACCTCTAATGTTGGATGTCCTGCATGGGTAGAGGCTTTTGCATTATGTAAAACTGTTAGTTTAGTTTTTCCTTTTTAGAATGGGGTGCCTTGAGTTTAAGCATTAATTTAAAGGGTGCCTTGACTAGAAAAAGGTTGAGAGACACCGGTTTAGAGTTCCCAAAATCTTATCAACTTGGAGGCCTCAGTGAACTGTACTTTTCCTCAAAGTCACGTATAATTTTTTTTTTCACTATTATAATGCTTTTTTTAATTTTTTGCTGTAACTGTGGGAAATTTACAGTGTCATACACATTTTTATTGTATCATATGTTTGCATTGGCAGTATCCATATGGCACTTTGTATATTTCCCCCAAGAAAACGCAGCTATTTGAAAACTGCATCTCCAAACATATATCCAAAAGAATCTTATAAATTTAATTTTTGAAATGACAAGTACAAATAAGAAATCATATTATACTCAGAAGCATTTCACAAAAGCACATAACATTTATCCAAATTGCATCAGTTTCTGTGTAATTGCTGATTTGCTCTTGCTATTTGATGGGTAAAGTTTTAAAAAGAGCCAATTTGATTGCGCTTTTTTATTTATTACATCGTGGATGTGCATTAAGCTGGAAACATAGTTCAACCAGAAGCATCCTGAGTGACCAAAGAGGATGTGTACAGTGGATGCTATGGCCAAGAAAGGGTAAAGGACTAGTTAACAGTACAGCCTGTTGTCTCTACAGCTAATATCTCCCCTATTATTGATTTACCATGTCTTAGGCCTTATGCACATATATTGGCATCTGGCCTTTTATTTAAATCTCTGAATGCAGCTAAATGTTAGCTAATGTGCTTATGCGCATACAGGTGTTTAAAAGCACATAATTAAGTGCCGAACACAGTATTTTTTAAGCTGGATTTTTCTGGCAGTTCTTGGCAGAAGATCCAGGGTACAAAGGAAGATTTTAATATGCCTGTGTGCATCAGGCCTTATTCTGTGCTGATCCTCTGTATGGAGGTGACCATCTTCTTGGAAGCAGGGCTTTGCTTTGTCATGTTAGTGTTGTCCCCCTGACGACTGGCAAACTGATTGCTAGTGGCAGCCCAGTGACTAAGTGGTTAGCACTTCCACCTGATTGGTTTGCATCCCAACCACGCCACTACCTGCCTGGAGTTTGCTTGCTCTCCCTGTGCCTGTGTGGGTTTTCTCCCAAAGACTTGCTGGTAGGCTAATTGGCTCCTGTCTAAATTGTCCCTAGTATGTATGATTGTGAGTTAGGGACCTTAGATTGTAAGCTCCTTGAAGGCAGTGACTGATGTGAATGCAGGGATGTGCAAATCATATTGCATGAGGCCTGGAACAGGCAACGCTGGGCAGGTGATTTTTTTTTTTTAAACTTAGCCTTTCTGTAGACAAGCAGCAGGGCTTACAATATGCCATGCAATTTTCATGTCAGTGTTCAGTGCAATTGTCAAAGGTAGTTGTTCAAGTGTGATTCAAATCTGTCTTCTAGCCACTTCTATGCAAACCCAGCTATAAACTGCATCCTATGTGAAAAGTTATCTGAGATTGCCACTATATTCTATGCTGTGCGAGTTTGGAAGGCATCGCTCCAAACTCACACAGGACCCTTTTATACCAGATCAGAATCTCACTGCATAGATTCAAACATCCTTTATTGAAAGCAAAGTATTTTCAGATACCATGCGAATCTAGGCTTTTCGGATGACTTCTGATCCACATCAGATTCACATCAGTGTGAACCCGGACTAAGGCTCCATTCACACCTGGGCGTTTTGAATTGTGGCAGAATCTCTGTGATTGCCTGTAATCTCAAAACTCACTACAATCACAAAATGCAGGTACAAGTGACTTTATTTTCAGTGGCACTTAAACTGCGGAGCAGTTTTGCTGAGATTATTACGCGATTTATTGCATCGTGTGAAGCTTGTTGCCCAAAAAAGGAGATGGACCTCCATGTGATGCGATTTGCCACATGATAAATCATGTGACAATCATGCCAAAAACATACCACGTTTTAGATGCCATCTAAAATAATGGCACCTGAACCTGTGTTTTGTGATTGTAATTTGTTTTGAGATCGTGGGCAGAATCGGAGCAATTCTGCCCAGGTGTGAATGGAGCCTCACGGAGCTTGATATGGCTGCTCAGCATGCACTTGTACTGAGCATCAAAGCTCTTCCATGTGCAGGGTAACCTAAAGGAATGACTTTTGTTTTTTCCTCATTGGGGCTAGCGCCTTATTTACTCGCTCAGCAGAAGCGATCTGCTGACCGTTAAAGAGAGCTTGACACTCCCTTTTCCTGATGAGCACAATTGGTGCTTGTCGCACTGCAAAGTCTCTCCCCTCCCTACTTGTCCCTGGGTGTGGTGCTGGAGGCAGGCAGGGAGGTGACTAGGAGATAAGCAGCGCAATGTTAAAAACCTTATTTAAATACAGCTTTGGTTAAAATATTTTTTTTTAATCAGGACAAGAACATTGTCACAAGTAGATAAGGGCCCTGCTTTAGTCCCTTAAACAAGCAGTTTTAAAAAGAATTTCCACACCCCTGGAATATATAATATACATGTAAAGCACTGTGTAAATTGATGGTGTTATATAAGTAATTGGAATAAATAGTGGAAGCATAGTCAAGCAGCAGCAAGAGAGGTAGAGGAAGCACAAATCCACATAATGAAAGAAGCAGAGAAATCCTTGCCCTGCAGGTCTCTGGGTACAGCTTAGATATACAGCTATGAGGCTAAAGACACAGTAAGTGCATCACTATTTTTCAGGAGGAATTCAAGAAGGAAAAGTATACTGTTTACGCACAATTACCATTTCTAAATAGTACATCCTCATATACTAAGATTAGGTCCACTTAAAGGTTTATCATAAATGACTTTAGCAAGTGGTGAGCCTGATTTTAAATGATAATGAGTGCTTCAGGCAGTCAGAGGCACTCCATATAATTAAATGAATGAGAAATCTTTCTGCTTGTAGGTCCTAATTTCCTCAGGGCTCTAAACTTCTTAACAGCATCCCATCCACCATCTGGGTACACCCCCCCCCCCCCCAGGGATTGACTAGGCCCTTCTCAATAGTTAGGAGCCATGAACTAAATTTACCTAGCAGCCTAACTACGACAGTGCTACACAAAGATGGGCAGATATGTCCATGTCCCATGTCATTCTTGGACACATATATACCTGCATAATAGTCTAAATATATGACACTATTATTCATTAATGCCACATACTGTACATCTTAAATTGTAACTGTAGAAAAACATTTTTTTTTTTTTTTTGGATAGTGCCATCAAGTCAAGTTTTTATTGCTCTCACGTCATGAGGTCTCAGTTCTCATTGGGGAAATGCAACCCTCTATTTGAAGTGATGACTATTTTTATTCTGAGGGGAAATTTACAATTTCAGAGGTTATATTTTCCAAATTGTAGAGCCATCTGCTCTGGGGACAACTGTGTAAGAGGTGAATTCCCAATTTCCATTAAATTCTTGTGCCTCTGAAAATTTAATTTAAAGAAAAATTAACAAATGGTACATAGGCAGCAAAAAAAACAAACAAAAAAAACCTGTTAGAAGTTTTAAACTTTTCCCTGCTCTATCCAAAACTGAAAAAAAGTTTGGCTACACATACACTTTTGCTTATTTTTGAGTGCTTTTAAAGAGAAGAATGTAATTATGATCTCTACTAAAAAAAAGGTAGAAGTCATCATCTACTGCTTGTCTGTTTTAAAGATACCCAATCCGCAATCCAAGAGCTGGATGCTATGGTGACAAGAAGGGCAAAGAAGGAATAAGAACTTACGGAAGACGTCCAGAAGAAGAAAAATATGATGTATACTGTTTTGTGGATGAACTTCAGGGTGAGATTCTAAAACTGTGTTCTTTTTTTCCAGACCAAAGTGATACAAAAGTCAGGAAGTATTGCTTTTAGTGTATTTCATTTATGTTAAGCAAAAAACAACAGCTGACCCAACCCTATAGTTATGTGGTTAGTGAGGATTCAATTAAAGCTCTGTGTGGAGGTAGGAGGGTTAGAAGAGACTATTCAGGTTTGCTACCTAATATAACATATTCACTCAATGTGGGGCTACAGTGAAATCTAACGTCAACACATGTAACCTGTATTAGACTATAAGAATTTTTCATGGTGGATATTGTGATGTTTTCTCTTGCTGGCTATGAGAGTTCCAATGCTCTTGGCTTTGTGTGACCTTGGCACAATAATGAACACTTGCAATGAGGAAGGCAGAACCTTCTCCTGTGCTATATAAGGTAGCAAACCTAAATAGTGGTTTTCAACTGTCTGTGGCCTAGTATGTTCGGATTCCACACTGAGCCTCTAAAGAATTTGCAAAGATTGCTCTTAAAGGAGCAGTTAACATGGTAGGTTGGTTCATTAAAAAGACCTCCAGGAGACACGAATTTGAAAAGTTTACATGGAAAGACATATGTTCCAACACACAGCTGTTTTTTTGTTTAAGATTTCATATGAAGAACAACAGTTTAAGAAAGAAAAAAAAATTTCAGTCTTAGATGGGTGAAAACATAAAGAAGCAGTTTGCATTTAGCCACAATAAAACACCTTACTAAAGTGTTAAATATCTCTATGTATGTAAATTTTAAATATGCATTTATGCATATTAGTATTTGCTTTTTATATGAGACAGTCCCTGCAATTCATAAAAACTGGCACAGACAAATTTGGCAAAACTGTCTCTCATGCATTCTAAAAGTGATGAAGTATGCGCCAAATTCATATACCTGTAGAGATTTTGTACTTGAATTTGGCTCATGCTGCGCCAATTGTAGAATGCACAGGAGACACTTTTCGCAAATATGTTTGAGGCAGTTTTTCACTCTGTACTCCAAAAGAGAATTGGCCTTAATTAGCTCCAATTTTACATTTGGCACATTCAATGTGACACAATATAAAAGTGGAGCATTCAGTGCAACATAATGTAAAAGTGGTGCATTTTAAAACTACATTGGGGAAAAAAATTATTTGATCCCCTGCAGATTTTGTAAGGTTGCCCAGTTACAAAGAAACAAATGGTATATAATTTATATCATAGGTGTATTTTAAATAATAGAGACAGAATCCAGAAAAAACACATGATACAAATGCTATGAAATTGGGTTGCAGTTCAGTGAGTAAAATAAGTATTTGATCCCTGAGCAAAACATGACTTAGTATTTGGTGGAGAAACCCTTGTTGGTAAGCACAGAGGTAAGACATTTCTTGTAGTTGGTTACCAGGTTTGCACACATCTCAGGAGGGATCTTTGCAGGGATTTTTGGTCCACTCTTCTTTGCAAATCTTCTCTAAATCCTTAAGGTTTCTTGGCGGTTGCATGGCAATTCAAAGTTTCAGCTCCCTTCATAAATTTTCTATAGGGAAGAAGGTTCTCATCCAATATTTTACAATACATGGCCTCATCCATTGGCCCCTGAATGCTGTAAAGTTGGCCTGTACCTTTAGCAGAAAAACAGCGGCAAAGCATAATGTTTCCACCAGTGCTTGACTGTAGGGATAGTGTGCTTAGGGTCATAGTCAGTATTTTTCTTCCTCCAAACACAGCGAGTCGAGTTAATTCCAAAGAGCTCAATTGTGGTCTTGTATGACCACATCACTTTCTCCAATCCTTCTCTCAATCATTTAGATGTTCATTGGCAAACTTCAGACTGCCCTGTACATGTGCCTTCTTGAGGATGGGAACCTTGCAGTTGCTCCAGGATTTCAATCCATGGTGGTGTATTGTGTTACCAATGGTTTGTTTGGTGACTGCGGTCCCAACTGCCTTGAGATCATTCATAAGTTCCTCCCATGTAGTTCTCAGCTGATCCCTCACTTTTCTCATGATCATCCTTACCCTATGAAGCAAAATCTTGCATGGAGCTCCAGACCAAGGGCGATTGATGGTTATTTTGTAGTTCTTTCATTTGCGAATAATCGCTCCTTCAGTTGTCTCCTTCTCACAAAGCTTCTTGCTGATGGTCTTGTAGCCAATTCCGGCCTTGTGCATGTCGACAACCTTGTTCCTGACGTCCTTTGACAGCTCTTTGGTCTTGCCCATGGTGGTGCCCAAGAAAGATATTCTGTGGACAGGTGTCTTTCATACACATAACGAGTTGTCGTTAGGAGCACCTTCTTAAATTGACAGGACTAATCTGTGTACCATATGAGCACATAGCCCTTCTATGGGAGCCAGAATTATTGTTGGTTGGTAGGGGATCAAATACTTATTTTACTCACTGAACTGCAACCCAATTTATAACATTTGTATCATGTGTTTTTTTCTGGATTTTTGGTTGATATTGTGTCTCTATCATTTAAAATACACCTATGATAAAAATTATAGACCCTTCATTTCTTTGTAAGTGTGCACACTTACACAATCTGCAGGGGATCAAATATAGCTATTTCCAGATATATCATCTATTGCAACCTTTAAATTTGGCCATACATGGTTCAGTTTTTATATAGCCGCCAGCAGTAATCATTGTATTCTGACAGAGGGGAAGCCTCTCAATGTCAGAATACAATTACACTGCAGGAGAGATTCCCCAAACAACACTGACTGTGCAATTTCTTTCCTTCAAGCCATGATTGAAGGGAAGAAAATTGCATAGTCTATGGTCAGCTAGCCATAGTATCTCTTTTGTACAGTTTCATTTTTATCCTGATGACATTGATCACCAGGATGAGTAAATCTCTCAGATACATCTCAAAGTATGCACAAAGTCTGTAAATTCCTTAGATACAGTTGGACAAATATGAAGCCATCAGCATGCAGCTCTGCCAGGAAACAAGCAGCATTAATTTGGCTGGGGCTGAGTGAAAGACTATGTGGAAGAAGGTGAGACAGAACACCAAAGTAATTTACTGAACATGCGTATTAAACAGGATACAAAATATTCAGCCAACTAGTCTTCCCATTTTTTTTTTTAACATACTCCAATTTCATATAGACCAACCAGTTCCTTTAATGAGGTCAGTATCACAACCCATGACTCAACAGTTAAAAACATTGTAAATATATTGGTTAGTGGTCAAGTTTGTGCACACAACAACTGCTTAATGGACTGAACAGAATGGTGTCCTAACAATATCTGCCTGCAATAATAATGATACACTGATAAATAATTTTGGACAAAATGAACATGTACTGGATACAGTTCAGAAATTGCTATCATATTTCTACTAAAAAGCCTATCCTAAAGTGTCTTGGTTCCACTGATTTTAGCAGTGGAAATGCTTTAAAGATAACTGCTGGCGAGACAAGTGACCCTAGAATAGTTTTGCTGTAGTGGTCCCAAGACATATACTGCACTTACACCTCTGACAAGGACAGCTGCATGGGCTTCTACAGCAATAGGTCTGCCAGTGCCTATGAAGCTCTTTGCCTAGAAGTTTCAATAACGGAAAATGAACATTGTATGGAAACAAGTATGAATCTATAAACTGCAGGCCATGCAAAGTTCCTTCAGTTTGCGAACTGTCTAGGCAATATTCTCCTGGCACCATAAAATTCCTGCATATATGTTTTGGGATAAATAAAGAGGCAACCTAAACAGGTGGGGCAGTATTAATAAGGAAAGATGAAAGTGAAATGTAATGCCAGAAGCTTAAGGTTTGACAGACTTTTGAAGAATAGGCTAATAAGACAGCGTCTAGCGCTTTCCAGAGATGATTTTGAATCAGCCTTTGTCTGGAGTCGAGAACCTGGCTCATAAGTCTAGTCTGTGGTATTTAACAGCCATAAAAAAACCAAACCTTAAATAGTCAGGTGTTTTTTTTTTTCAATAGTAACGCGCACATAAGCAGCACAGGAAAATCCCGTCAATTCTTTGGGCGCTCTCGCTGCTGACTTCAACCTGGCTAGAGGAGGCTGCCAAGGTTAACACACACTGCATTATTGTCTGTAACATAAACACTGTCATGGTTTCCATTTTCTGGGCTGCAATGACAGAGTTACAATGTGAGCTTCTATTGCATATGTGCTCTGAGCTTTATTGTACCTCCCTGATTATTCCATAATCCAGCTATAAAAACATTTAACATTTTGCTCCCCTTTTAATTTTCTGTGATATCCAGGAAATCATAATTTGGCAATATCAAACAGATTTTATTTCTTTTTGGCTATTATTTTTTCAGAGAACAAAATTGTGTAACCTTTATTATTTAGTGCAAAGTACGACATTGTTTAAAAATGTAAAAGTACAAACTGCAACAGCCATTGAGGTGACATCATGGTAATGGCATGCTTGAATTCTTCATAGAACTACAACCTTAACATATGTTTATGTGGTTCATCAAAGGAAATGTATCCAGGCTACAACATTCCTTATTAAAAGCGCATTGGCAAATAGCTGATCTAACCATAGGTGTGGCAGAAATGACAGCTAGCATCCCCAGTCATTTAAAGGTAATCTATGGTCACAGCATACACTTTCATTTCATAACCTCAGCATTGTAATAACAATACAAACAATAGTTATTTTTTGACAATTCAATATAAGCTTACCTGAAAAATGTTATGTTGTGCTGCCTGTCTGCTGGTAGACATGTGCGCTTTGGTTCGTTCTGATTCGTTTTTCAGATGAAAATTTCATTTTTAGTGATTTGGATATATACAAATCTCTGAATGGACATAGTAACAAATGTCAATGAATCCAAAAGTTGTAACATAATTAACAAATACTTTAGTTTCATTTGTTTGACATCACATGATGCAATAGTAGTTCAGGCCCATGGGGAAATTATTGCAATTTTCAAATTTATTCGATAATTCGGACTCAGATAATGAATGGATCTGAATTTCGTTCCGTTCGTTAATTCGGATGTACATGACGCCAGTCG